TAATGAATTATTCTACTTCTCTATTTGTTGTAATGTCTCATATCACATGAGGCAAAAAGAAATTGGGCGACTAAAAATACTTAAGGTAGTGGTGCTGATTTTTAAATCCTGGTAATTTTAGAAAATTCTTTATTTCCTCATAAACTTTAAAGCATTATCAGTTTTGTTATATACTAAATTTTTAAAAAATTAAAAAAAACGTAAATTAAGAGCAATGTATGAAGTTCAAACTGAGTTTCTGAGAATCTCTGCAATTTTAAACATATTTCACTGAAGATTTCCAAGGAATTTTCATAGAAGTTGATTTCAAGTGTTTAAAAATGTGAAAGAATTACTAAAAAATCTTTCTTGGTGCCATAGGGATTTAAATTAATACTCGGATAAGAGGAAGTTCTGAAGGAATGCAAAGGGTCTGCTAGGAACTGTTCATGGGAGTTTTTCTTAGAATTTTGTTGAATTAATTCATATATTAAAAAGAGAGCTTCTTTCCCCTATTTATCTGTTCATTTATTTAGTAATATGGAACACTTTTTTATATGTTCTGCCCTAAATAGGCACTGTGATACAGAGAACTGTGCCACCTTTTCTGTTGCTTTTCTACTAATGGAATTCTTCACACCAGCAAATGATCAGAAAGCAACATTCCTTCTGTAAATCAAGTCTGGTAGAAATATAAAGAAGGGCGTGACTCACTTTGTCATCATCATGTTGGGAGCAATACTGGAGAGGAAATGACATTTGAGCTCTGTGTTGAAGAGTGATTAACAGTCATTAGGGTTGAGGGTTGGGCATATCTGGAATAGTTATGTGAGATAAGCTTTCACAGCACAATAAAGAGCTAGACAAGTTCTTTGGAGAGAAAACTTAAAAAAATGAGAGGAACATTGTTATGTTAGAGTAGCTTATAGAAATGTCATAAAGAACTTTGACTTAATGTAAGGACAAATGTGTTCATTCACAAAGGGGTAAAAGAGTACATTTCTGGGACCAGATATAAATGGTGAAAACAAATTTGTTTAGCTAAATTGGTAAATAGATAAACATAATATGCACATTACAATGTATATATATGTGTGTGTGTGTGTGTGCTCTATGTGTACATTTTTATGTTCTTAACTAGTATTCCAAGAAACAGTTATAAATGATCATCTTTAAGAATTTCTCTATGATACACGATATGCCAGACACAGTAACAACAAAGTCTCCAATGGAGACATTATTGGGCCCGCTCGAGCAAATCGACGATCAACGGGAGGGCCTTTACCTTTACCTTACCTTTACACTTTATATTTAAATTTAAAAGTCTAATATTTTGTTATGTAGATGCCATAAATAAAAGGTCTTCTGTTTAAGCTTAGAACAATTTTCACATTGTCACTTTTTATATTCTGACATATAGATCGCTGTATGCTTTTGCTTTTGTTAAGTCATGTTTCCAGTAGGATAACAGAGCTATCAGAGGTTCAATTACATTTTCAGATATTTTTCAAATTTATTTCTCAGTTTATAACTTTATAAATAGTATGTGAGCATAACCTGTTTCATAATAAAAACCTGTATTAAGAGATGTGCTGATTTTTTGTAAGCCTGTATTAAATTCCTTGTACTGTAATTAATAGAAGTGGCATAAAATGGTCCTCTCAAGATGATTTGACTTGTATATATTTATTTTTAATTCAAGGAGGATTGAGCTATGCCCAGAAGTGCTCATGGCCTATTTCTGACTCTGTGTTCAGGGATGACCTTAATGGTGCTAGGGGGGGCCACATGTGATACCAGGACTTGAATCTGGGTTGGCTGCATATGAGGCAAGTGCCATAATCCACTACCTCTCCATTTCGTTATTTTATTTATTTTATTTTGCATTAATTTGAACCTTTGTTGGAATAAATATTTTCTACATGCCTAAAAAGGAATCACAAGGCCAGGAGAGAGAGTAAAGGGGTTAAGACACTTTCCTTGCACAAGGCTAACCCTACTTTGATTCCTGGCATCATATATAGCTCTCTAGAAGTACTGTCAAGAGTACAGAGACAGGAGAAAGGCCTGAGCACTGCTGCGGGTACCCCAAGAAATAAAGAATTATACCACAATGCCAGCAAATAAAAATATAAAATACGCAATAAAAATATAAAATAAAAATATAAAATAAAAATTGATGCCATAGTTGGCAGGACATTCTATCAGATTTTACTTTTATCTGTCCACATTTATCTATTAGTTATTCTTAAAAGCTTTGAATAGAGAGCCCAGACAAGTTTGGATTTTCATTCTTTTTACCACTTTCCTGAGCAAGGCAAGCTACCGAGAGTATTCGATATGCCAGACACAGTAACAACAAAGTCTCCAATGGAGATGTTACTGGGCCCACTCGAGCAAATCGACGATCAACGGGAGGGCCTTTATCTTTACCTTTACCACTTTCCTGAACAAGTATGGAAATTATTGTTTGAAGATAGTAAAGAATCAGGAATTCAAAGAAGCCTTGAACTGTCGGCCTTTGTAATTTGACATTTGTAATTTCCTATAAGAAATAGAAAACTCAGCTTCTTCATTTGTGAACTAAGAATATTGAAAAAAAGCTCAGAAATGTTATGAGAGCAAAGTTGCATAAAGAAAAATGTCATATGTAAGGTTTTTACTTAATTAAAAGAATTTGAAAATTGTGTCTGTGTGAACATATTAAGCAATAATCAAGTTTAAATAGAAAAAATCTCTCTCAGCTGAGAATACTAACCCAAAGTATGACTTGATCCCTATAAAAAAGAAGGCATTTAGTATCTGAATCAAAGTTAACGTATTTTTTTATTATTCTGGCACACATCCATCAGATGTCAGTTTTTGGAGATGTGATCACTTTCTGTCCAATACTATTTTAAACATGTGCTATTTAATGCTTCAAATATAGAGGATAAGCATATAATACTTTTTAGATAGATGACATACTGTGGGCCATTTTTAAGGAACTCTATAAGGAACTCACAAAATTCAATGAGAAAGCAACTCCATTAAAAAAATAGAGAAATTAACATACTCTTCACTGAAGATATACAGATGGTCCACAGACACATGAAAGGTTCACTATCACTTACTGCCAGGGAAAATCAAATACAAAATGACAATGAGATATCTGTAAGAATGACCTACATCAAAAAAGCAAGACAGCAAGCATTTGGTCAGGCTTATTCAGTCTTAGTAGCCCTGTAGCACTGTAGCACTGTCCTCCCGTTGTTCATCGATTTGCTCGAGTGGGCACCAGTAACGTCTCCACTGTGAGACTTGTCGTTACTATTTTTGGCAGATTGAATATGCCATGGGGAGCTTGCCAGGCTCTGCCGTGCGGACGGGATACTCTCGGTAGCTTACAGGGCTCTCGGGGAGGCAAATATATATATTTATCTCATAACTGGTTGGTAGTCAGTTTATTTCTCTCTTCTCCCCAAATTAGTCCCATCTCTCCCTTACAGCACAACTGCAGTTGTAGTTTTGGTCGTAGTCCCAGTCATCATAGTTCCATCATCCTAGTCTCTTTGTAGACCTTTAAGTCCTCTACAAAGGTCTCATAGGGTTACCCAAATTATAACTATTATTTATATAACATGAATAATGGAATTAATGCCATAGCACTACACTGTAGCACTGTCCTCCCATTGTTCATCTATTTGCTTGATCGGGCACCAGTAACATCTCACAACAAATTGTGAAGCTTGTTGTTACAGTGTTTGGCATATAAAATACATCACGGCGAGCTTTCCAGGCTTTGCCATGCGGGCAAGATACTCTCGGTAGCTTGTTGGGCTCTCCGAGAGGGTAGGAGGAATCGAACTCGGGTTATATAAATAAAAATTGTAATACATATGTAATGAATAAAAAAAATATTAATTTGAGGGAATGGAGAGACAGTACAGGAGTAAGGCTTTGCCTTGGATGTGAGAGATCCTGGCTTAATCAAGTACTGCATATGGCCCCCCTGAGCACTGATTCAGGAAGAGCTGCCGAACACTGCCAGAGTGACCCAATATCCATCCCTCAGCCAAAGTTAAAATATTTCAACTTAGATAAAAAATGTAAAGCTTGATAAGAAAAGTGGAATCTGCATTTGAATGATTTCTTTTCTCCCTGTCTTCTTCCCCCTCCCCCCCCCCCACCTCTCCTATGACTTTATCTTGTTCATGGAATACCTGCACTTTAGGGTTTCGGTTTCTTTTGAGAGCACGAAGCAATAAAGTCATTTTTATGAAAAACCCACAAGTAGCCAACGATGCCACCTTCCTTCAGGGTTAAGGAAGATACTTGATCGGGAATAAAGAAGAGTATGACTGACAGTCAGAACTTTGGGGAGTGATGACAAGAATATCGCTAGGAAGAGTCAGATCACAGCCACATCCTGCTTGTGCCAATTCTCCAGACTTCACTAGGCAAAACTTTAGCTAAGCCAAATCACAAAATCTCCGACGTGAGAAAAAAATCATAAGAGCTGCCAAGATTGGTGAAATGAAGCCTAAATTTATAAAGAGCTAATTTCTTGTTGAATACAACATTTTATCCATTAGAATTTATCCAGATAAACCCATATACATATCGCACAGCTTGTTTGCACATGCGCAGACACATGCTTACAGGCAAACGGGTAGGCACAGGGCTTGCCGTCTGGGCTGGATTCCAGTATCTTTTCATCACATCAAGAAGGTATCCTCATGCAGAGCACAGTCCGAACAACTGGACAACTGAACTCCTATTTATACAGCTCTTCCTCTTTAGAGGCTTACAAATCACAAGATAGACGTGATAACTAGAATTTTATCTTCAATCACTGCAGAATAGGATTATGTTAGCTCAAGGAGGCAAGATTTTGCATGTCAAATATCAATTTAATTCAGCATAAATTTAGGTAGGCATAAAATAATTTTTGATGTAGATTCTTATAGTGAAATTGAATATGAACCAATAAATATTACTCTCCCTTAAAAAAACTTAAAACAGCAGAGTAGAATACTTACCACCATCTTCAACAGTAAAATGGAAAATGTCACTTGTGGCATTAGCCCCATCTCTTAGTACATAGCATATTTTCATATCATCAATGTCAGCTAGAAAAGAATTTTTAAAAACAAGATGATTAATTATGAGAGAAAAATTGATGACTCCTATATCTGATAAGTTCTGTTGACCATTATTCTTGTGTAAGCATATTTAGGTTTCCTATCCTTTGGGGCACCCTACAAGACCTATGACCTATCTTATTTCTGATCACTGATTTCAGCTGTCCCAGGGAAATCTGATCCTTGGCTCAGAAAAAGATACAAGAGTTAGACTATAATAATAGCAAGGTGTTGCCCCGCCCAATGGAATTTGCACTGCATACACTAAAGGAGTGACCATCTAACTATGGAATTGAGGCTTCATGACAGGTGGAAAAGGAGATATTTTGAGGCATCACAGATTTCCTGGCATGACTAAAACCACACCCTTTGCCTTCCAGCAGGACTGAAAAGGAAAGAGCTGCCCTTGTTCTTCCTTAAGCTAACTATTCTTGCCTCATGGGATGCAGGAAGTTTTTGAGTGCCCAAAGTTTTGAAAGGAAAGGACAAGGGCAAGGACAAGGAAACTTTTGAAGTTTCACAGATTAAAAATTAACATGATCCCAAGCCATAAAGAACTGAGAACAGAAAATAAAAATGGAAAGCTTTAGTGGTTGGGGATATACCGTGGTGGTAAAGTATTTGTTTTTCGTGTATGAGGTCCTGGATCCCTGGAACACCCTAACACTACCCCCTCACCCAAATCACTGAAAACAAAACAACAACAAAAAAACATTGAAAAGGTCCTTCATAGCTGAAAGTTATTCCACCTCACAAATAATATTTCTGATGCTTCCTTCTTCAGCCATCAAATTTACTGATATTTTTCTAGTGAAAACAGGCATTCAATTTTTATAAATGTATGAATTAATTTTACAAGTTCCTCTCCTTGATAATGACACATAGACAGAATAACAGAAAAATACTCTGTCTGTGATACAGTGGATTGATATTTGATCAGGGCCAATCATTAGTTAGCGATTGCAAGGTTATATAAAATCAAGATCAGAGCTAAAAGTGGATTCAGCAATGTTAGGTTACTCCATTCCTTAGAACTCTAATTACTTTACATATGGAGTTTAAGAGCACTGTACTAAGAATGAATTTATGCAAGAATAATCTCAAGTGATGCAAAGCATTAGAGTCAACAGATATCTCAATGAATTACTATAGCTCCACTGTACAGAGTGCATTGTGCACTCTGCCTTAGCCCATACACCCTGAAAGAGGATTTGCTCACATCCATACAGCTGAAGAAGGGAAAAATTATTTCACAATTTTGGACATCTTCTTACTAATAGAGATACTGGAGCAAATGAAGGGAGTTTGATATGTCTTCTTCCCGCTTAAGTCTTTCATTTCAAACTTTCATGTTGAACTTTTTCTCCCTTTGATCTTTCCTTTTTAAAATTTCCTCAATTCCTGCCAAGTGGTATATTTACTTTCCTGCATAGGTAACCTTCCTAGAAAATTGAGAACTTGAAGCATTTTGCTTTTTGCCATCAATTCCCATAGTCCTTTGCACAATCTACTACTCAATAAGGGCTGAAATCTTTCTTAATTTAAAAAGAAGGAGCACAGAGAACTGGGGACTCCTCTTTTATCCCTCCCTGCCAAATGTGATAAGCCTGTAGGAATAAGCAGAAACATAGCTTTCTAGCTAGTTATTTGGGAACAAATTTTTCTTATTTTATTTAGGCCACATCTGGAAGTGCTCAGAGTTTACTTACTGCAGGCAGTGGTCAGGGGACCATATATATGAGGGGATAGAACCAGGACTGCCTCGTGCAAGGCAAATACCTAAACACTGCTCTGGCCCAGTTTTTCGAACCTTTAATTGATCAGAAAGAAATGAAGTAGATGATGCTTTGACTTCACATCCTTAGCTTAATGACACCATTCTCAAGTCGCAATACACAAAGTCATTTCCCATTGGGCTGGAGTGATAGCACAGTGGTAGGGTGTTTGCCTTGCGCGCAGTCAGCCCGGCCCAGCCGGATTCGATTCCTCTGCCCCTTTCGGAGTGCCCAGCAAGCTACTGAGAGAGAGTATCTCGCCCATATGCTAAACACAGTAACAACAAGTCTCAAAATGGAGACGTTACTGGGCCTGCTCAAGCAAATCAATCAACAATGGGAGGACAGTTTTTGACTGGAAATGGTAAACATTCCTTCTTCAATCATGAGAAAATCTAAAGGCTCTAGTATGAAGAAAGAAAAAAAAATGAGCTTATTCATGATTCCCAATCTCAATAGCAATGTTTTCTTAGTAAGAACTATAGCATTTAGCATTTAGATGAGTTTCATTGGAATAAACCATCACTTCAAAACTTGTTTTTATGAACATTTGAGAAAAGGAATATGAATGCAATTTTATGACACTCAAGTGTCAAATTTTCCCTCCAAGTTAGGGCATTCAAAATTGATTAGTTGAAACACACTAAAAACCCTTTTCATTTTATTTAAAATGTTGTTAATTATTTATTGTTTGTGAAAGAGACAGGATTTTTTTAAAAATCATAAATGGATAAATTTTTGATTGAAACATGTAACTCTAAAAAATTTGTACATATTTCTCAATGCATAGGAACATTGGGATGATATAAAATCGAGTAGACAAATGCTGTCTTTTTAAACTGGATATCTAATAAGTAACTAGATTTTCTTCTAGTTGTCAAATATGAAACAGATTTAATGCAATTTAGCAACATAATTATTTCGTTAAAATTTAACAATATACCTGGTAATCAAAACCTGGTACCAACTCTCTAGGAAGATTTCTAAAAGTGATTAAAATTTATCTCCCTGGGATATTAGTATGTCCTTATCATTAAGAAAAATCCAGGACCTTGAGACAATTGATTTAAGTAATTTAGGGTAGAATGGAGAAATGTGGGGCACCTTGGTAGAGAGATAAAGTTTAAAATAAATACAATTTTTCCTCAGCATATCCAATTCTATCTTATTAGCTTTACCTAATATCAAAGTATAGAGATGAATTAGTTTGCTTCTCCTAGGAAAAACTAAATCAATATGTGAATAAACTTCACAGGACATATGTGCTAATTTGACTTCCTTATAAAAAAAATCCATCAAGGCTCGCTTTTCAAGCCCATGTTCTCCCTTGAACACATATATCACTTGCTTGTCTCTATGATTCTTTCCTTCCCTATTTCCACTCTAGGAAGCCTGTGTTCTCTCTTAAACACATACTTCTCTCCCCTCTCAAATCTTTCCAAATAAGTTTCAATAAAAACTACCTGGCTTCACACACAAAAAAATGTAACCAAAACCAACCCACTCCCAAATCTAGTTTCACTCACTGCTTAACCAAATCAAAAGAAAAGCAAAGATAAAGCAAAAAAAAAAAAAAAAAGCAGGGAAATCCTTAATCTGGACACTGCTGCATTTTCCTTCTGAAGGAGCAGCCACAAGAGCTAAAGGATGAAGATTTCTCCACTTGTATTCACTTATCTAATCACCAGAAATAACTGCTATGAACCGAACTCCAGCCTCAACTTGTTCAAATGAGTGACATGTGATAAAATGCCAGCATTTCCCTCAATCAATACTTGATCTCTTACTGGAACATACAATCTCCCTAAAAACGACGATCTTAAAATTACTTCTTCACTGTAAAAACTAAGCTTAGAGCTATTCTATATTTACAAAAGACTATAAAAAGTAATCACAATGAGTAAATGCAGAGAGAGAGAATATAGCATCAGGTGCAATACATTTAGCTAAACTTACCAAAATGTAAGAAATATTATTTAAATATTTTAAGCTGTTAGACTTGATTCATGAGGTTTAAATTAATTAAGCTGCCTATCTATCTTCATGCAAAATATTTTTTTATAAAAGGTAAAGATTTTTTTTTCAGGTCAGTATACTTATTTGAAGTAACATTTTCTACCCTCTAATATACTTCTTTTATCCTCTTCACTTTCCATGAAAATAAACCAATCTACAACTGCATGGTATCTCTATCCTCAGAAAGCCTCCACACAAAAGTTTCCTGCTAGTTGGCATGACAGTTGGCACTCTGAGGTTATCCTGTCCCTGCAGGCCCTAGGATACATTCAGGCTTTCAGCCAAGAAACAGGAGGTTGGAGTATGAGGCACTTTGCCAGCATCTAAAACAGAGAAGCAGTTCACTTTCACACTATGCTTTGCGACATTCACGTTGATTATAGCATTAGTTATCTAAGAACACAGCACTGGGCAGGAAAGGAACACCCCCTGTGGGATGCCCTCGGATCAAACTCGATCTGTCCCCACAAAGCCACATAGGACAGCTTTAGTTTCCATTGTGACAAGGTGAGATTTTCAGGAAAGCAACCACAAGCCCTTTGTAATCAAAGTTGCATGTTCTAGAAAACAGAGTTCCCACTCCCAAGCCAGCATTCTGAATAGACTTCTCCCTTCAGTCACTGAGTAACTCAGCACAGCTCACTTGGCTTGGTCCATGCACAAAGAAAATGCAAATGGCTTGAGACACTTGCTGTTATTTATTATTTTTGATATTGGCTTGAGATGAGAAAATGATTTTCTCCTACTATTTATCTTATTGGCATAACTTCAGGTTTTTTTTTTCACAAAAAAGTGAATGTATATTTTGGTGATGGACATCAAGCCTATTTACACATCATGAAGCATACTATTTTTTATGTATCTTATTCTGGTATGCAACAGGCTTTACGCATATTCTTGCTAATTTTAGATCAGTATTTACTTCTGTCAGCTTTGGACAGGTGTTTGCCTAAATCATAAAATGTTACCAGAGAAATATAAGATCCACGAATTAAATATAAGTAGATCTTATAACTTCAGTTGCAAAGCTCGTAACAAGAAAAAAAAGTGTTATAACAGCACTTTCAAAAAATAATCAAAGTGATACAAATTTGAAGATGCTATTTGAATGGTAGGTTTAAAAAAAAACGGTAATACACCAAACTTAAAAATTACATGTTTCTCTAAGGTGCTAAAATGATTCAAGAACTACCTTTAGCACATAAAATAGTAGCGCTCACAAAACAGGCATGGCAAATGAAACTGAGAGTAGGAAAGCCAACTTCAATTATGGCACCAAAGTCTGACTTTGACTTTCTCAGCACATCTTATTGCTATTGAAGTGCCTCGATACACCCTTTAATGAAGGTCCCTGCAGCTAGGCATATGACAAGAAGGGAAGACCCCAGGAAAGGCAGGTCCTCAATTCTCCTAACTTTATTTCCCTTCTCTGTTCATCAAGGTCTGGCATGTCCTCAGGAGACTGGAGCTAAAATACCATTAGTTGTAAGAAGAGAAAAGCAAACCATACCTTGTGTAAACTGAGTGACACTGTGGTTTCCTTTGCCCAGATTGAGGAGATATCCATGTCGCGGGGCCTCTGTCACAATAAACCGAAGGGAGGAATGTAAGCTGTCTCTGTCCTCCACTTTCAATATTTTGTTTGTGATCATGAATCCCAAGTGGCCAATAGCCAGATGACGAAGTGTAGAGGCTCCTTTGTTGATGACGATTTGGGGAGCATTATTGTCAACAGCTAAGACCTGGATCTTCATCACTTGGGGCCTCCTTGTTTCAAATATTGTATCAGGAAAAACATAGAACTCTGTGTGGGAGCCATCAGTCACTGTGAAGGAGAAGCTGTCCTCACTTGACTCAGTGCCATCATGTCTGTAACTGATTAAGTTTTCATTCAAATCTTGCTTGGTAAAAACCATGACAGGTCTGCTGTGATTGAAAAGCAGTTGACCATGCACAGGAACTTGGGTGATGGTGAATTTCAGGAGGTTGTCAGGAGTATCTCTGTCTTCAACGGTGAGTTCAAAAGGAGTGATCAGTTTGTTTTCTCCTTCGCTGACAATCAGGTTATTGATGGTGACCACTGGCTTCTTATTGTCCACATCACTAATGGAGATACGGAAGGTCCGGAAGACAGGGTTATGTCCATCAGTGACTTGAAACTCAAAACTGTCCATTTTCACCTCATCATCAGCTGTGTGGATATAATATATCTTGTTGCCTGCTAGTTGGAGTTGAGTAAAAGATGTGATGGATACTCGTGGTTGGTCTGTAGACTCTAAGTGACCTCTCATGGGAGGCCTAGTGATGGTAAAAACTAAGTTTTCATCAGGACTGTTCAGATCACTGGTACTTAGTAGGTCTGTCGTGAGGGTGACTTTTCCACCTTCTTTCAAGGATACTCCCTTACTAATCACATTAGGGAAAACAATATCAATACTTCCAACCGATACATAAAAGTATCGATCAATGAGGGCATTTACTCCATCAGTCACATCAAATTTAATTAGATCCCGAAGGCCCTCTTTTCCCAAATGGACATACTGAATTAAGTTTCTATCTACTTCATCTTGTGTAAAGTTCATGCCTATAGTGATATTTTCAAAGGAACCTGTAAATTTTTGTCTCTGTAATAAACCATGTCCTGGCCCAAAACGAATAACATAAACCAAGGATTTGTCTTCAGAATCTAAATCAGTTGCCATTAATATTTTGTTGTTGATAATTTTGGTTTCCCCAATTTCTATCTCCAATCCATTATTGATGGTCATTCTGGGGGTCTCATCATCAACTGGAATTACCATAATGAGAACAGTCTTTTCCACAGCAAATTTACCATCTGTCAGTTTAATCACAAAACTGTCTTCCTGTGTCTCAGAGTCATCGTGCTCATAAATAATGCTGGAACTCTCTATAATTTGATCTAAGGTGAAGCTTTCGACCAATACTGTACCATTTATCAGCTGGCTCATGATCTGACCATGAGTAGGAAACTGGGTAATTGTGAATGTTAAGTCATCTGGGGGGACATCAGCATCGGCAGCATTGAGAATGGGTGTATCAATCACTAGACTCATGCCTTCCATTACCATAAATTCCCTCATAAATATTTCTGGCTGTTCATCATTAATGGGAGCAATTATAATGGGGAAAAACTGCCGTTCTGAAAAGTTAATGCCATCAGAACAACGAAATATAAACCGGTCTTCAACAGGTTCCACCCCTTTGTGGACACTCTGAACATAGTTAATATGACCCTGCCTGAGATCTTTCAGCGTGAAGGCACTTATGGCAATTCCTGCTCTTGATTTTTCCGAGCCTGGTGCTGGAGAAATGTTCTCAACATAACCTGAGGTAGGCTGGATAACTATAGTGCACAAGATGTCATCATTTAGGGAATCGATATCTGCAGCACTTATATGCAGTGAGGTTATAACACTTTTGTCACCTTCTGTTACAACAAACCGTTCTCCCACAGAGATTTCTGGAGCCTGGTTATCAACAGGGAGGATGGTCACCCACACAGTGACTCCCTGGATAGTATTGCCCCCCCACCTCCATTCTTGAGACATGTCTGACAGACTCAGGTTGAAAGAGTCCTCTTTTGGCAAGAGCCCTATCTCCCCACCAGTGTGTGCATAAACCACAGAGCCCTCCAAGATATCCTTTTGGGTAAACTGCTCAGCTGGAACACCATTGACCAAAATTTCTCCATATAAGGGCGGATCCTCCAAGAGGAAAGTTAACATCAAATCATCAGTGTCTTCATTAGTCCCCTTAATAACACTGGCTGTGATTTCAGCAGCCCCATTCTCTAAAACATCTAGGTAGGACCCCAGGGTGCCCGCAGGGAGGCTCAGCATGGGTCCTTCATCATCCACTGGCCGGACAGTCACTCTGAGCGTGATGGGTACCACATGGTGTCTGTCGCTGACCTCCAAGAGGCAACTGTCAGTCAGGGATTTGTCCCCATTATGGGTGTAGGAAATGCGACCCTGTTGGATGTCCTCAAAGTGGAAGCTCCCCCCAACATGCAACATATGTCCTGACACCCTGAGGTGACCATGTCGGGGTGCCTGTGTGAGAGTGAAAGAGATGTGGGCAACATCCGTGTCCACATCATTCACACGCAGCTCATTCTCGCTTAGGATGTGGTGGCCTCTCTCTTGCAGACTAAAGCCTGTGTTAAGGATCTCAGGTGGCTGGTTGTCCACAGGCTGCAAGTAGAGGGTGAAGGTACCTGCAGCCACATTCCCTGCTCGGTCCTCCACCTGGAACTGGAACTGGGCCTCGCGGGCAGCCACTCCCAGTTCTTGGTCTGGGGGCCGGTAGGCAATCTTGTGGTGGTTGATCTGAGCCTGGGTAAAATGGGCCACCACCACAGAGGGGTTGTCAGTCAGGACCAAGGTGCCCAGTGGGGCAAGCGAGTGGTTTTCATCTGTGTCCATGGGGGGCTGAGTCACTGTGTAGCGCAGTTCCCGGTCATCTGTGTCCGCGTCGGTGTAGCGCAGCCACTTCTTCTTCAGTGGTGTGAGCTGGGCCTCCTGGACCACCATTCGGAGTGGACAGCCGCTGCCCAGCTCGGGGGCGAGGCGATCCACCGGATGAATGCGGATCACGAACCTCTGCAGCCCCGACCGATTCGGGGGGTCATGGTTATCCTGGACTCGAAATGTGAACTGGTCCATTACTGGCCGGGGACTGTGGGGTCCAGTGTGCCTGTAGAACAGCCGGCCCTCCGTGATGTCCCGCTGCCGCCACTCGGTCACTGTTTGTTCGTAGAATGCTCCTTTTTTTCTCCAGGGTCCCCGGAGAAGCTCCTCCTCCTGCCTGGGGGGTGGGTGAGGCTGGCGGAGGAGCAGATGCCCGATGCCCGAGGAGGACGATTCCAGCACAAAGAGCAGTTCCGAGTCATCTGAGTCCATGTCAGTGGCGCTGAGCGTGAGAGGCAGGATGGGCGCCGTTTCCCCCTCGGCCAGGGTGAGCCCCGTATTGGCGTTGAGGACAGGCGGCTGGTCATCCACAGGCACCAAGGTGATGGGGAACAGGAACTGCACCTGGTGCCGGCCTCCCCCATCTACCATACGCAGCACCAGGTTGTCACTGAGGGCCCCGTCCCGGCTGTCATGCTGGTAGACCACCTGTCCGGCCGCTAGCTGAGCCACAGAAAAGGTCTTGGGAGCAGCAGTGGTGCCGGGGGAGGTCCCCAGAAGGACCAAGTGACCATGTCGGAGCCCCGCCACCACCTCTAGCTGCACCGCCTCTAAGTCATCCTCATCACTCACAACCAAGTTCTGAGGTCCACTGCCGGCTGGGCCCGTAAGGGGCCGAGCTTGGCCCTCATAGAGGATGAGGCCCGTGTTGCGGGTCACCACCGGGGCCAGCGTGTTCATGGGCTTCACCACCACCATGAAGGCAAAGGGATCGGAGGCGGCTCCTTCGGGGTCCACCACCTCCAGCTCCAGCTCGAAGAGACGCTCCCGGTCGGCGTCCTCTGCAGGGGGCTGGTAGGCGATCTTGAGAAGGCGCAGGTCCCGCTGGGTGAAGGAGGACAGGGGCAGGCTGCGGTCATCGGTGCTCACCAGGTAGCCCTGGCCCGGCAGGAAGGGCGAGGTGAGGTTGAAGATGAGCAGGTCGGGGGGCGACTCGGTGTCTTCGGCCGCCAGCATGTCTGGGGTCAGGGCAGTCAGGACGAACTGGTCCACCTCCATCATCATCATCGCCACGAAGCTGGGCTTGGGCGCGGTGTTCTCGGCCCCTCCTCGGATCCTGACCAGCACTTGGAAGTGCTCGCGTTTCAAAGCGGGGCTGCCCACCGGGGCGCCCCGTGCCCTCAGCTCCACCACCATGGGCACCCAGTCCCGGTTGGGCGAGCGGCTAGGCGCCGTGTGGCGATAGCGCACGCCGAGCTCCAGGAACGCTCGGCAGTCCATCAGCAGAGGCTCCTGGCTGCTCCCCGCCTCTAGGATCGGCTCCGGGGGGACCTGCGGATAGTGCAGGAGTTCCCCATAGCGAGGCAGCGCGCCCAGGCCCGACAGGATGCCCACGCGACACTCCTCCGTCTCGGGCTGGTAAGCGAACTCCAGACTCCGCGCATCCAAGGCGTTGCTGGTGCCCAGCAGCTCCTCCACGACCAGGGGCAAGTTCCGAGTCACGATCTCCAGCTGGGTGAACACCACCTCCACCTCCAGCACCAAGGGGAGCACGGCCGCCCCTCCTGGCGCGTCGTAGCGCAGCTGCAGCCGGACCCGATCCCGCGACGGGCTGCGCGCGCCCAGGTGCGAGTACCGCACCTCTCCAGGGCCGAAGTCGCACGCGAAGCGTTGGGGACTCAGGCGGCCGGGCCGTTGGGCGAGAGCGTCGTTGTCCAGCACGGTCACCGCGCAGCGGTCCCCGGGCTGCACCTGCAGCACCAGATCGTGCAGCGGATCCAGCCAAACCTCCCGGCCGAAGGGCACCCGGAGCCCACGGTTGGCCAGCACGATAGCGTCCTCAGCGGGGACCCCTGAAGTCCCAGCAAGATCCGGGGACAGCAATGCCCGTCCGGGGACAGCGGGCTGCGCCCGGAGGTGGCTTACCAGTGACAGGAGAAGCGGCAGCACCAGCAGCAGCCGGGGCGGCGGCGGCGCCCGCGGGGATCCCGAGGAGGAGGGGGTGGCGGCCGGCCGCGCGCGGGGCGCGATCCCGGGCGTGCAGACTGAGCGCATGGTCCAGGTGTTGGCGCCGCGGCAGGTCAGTTCGAGAGCGCGCGGGTGATCCCCGCTCCCCGCAGGGACCCCGAGAGCTGAGAAGGTGCCAGCGAGCCCGCGCGGGGGTGGAGGTGGGGGGACGCGGCTGCGGCCCCGGCCGGGCCGGAGAGTGGGAAAGTTGCACGGCGCGGTCGGGCTGGACACGGAGCTGGGAAGGCGACGCTCTCCTGGGCTGCCCCGGGCCGCCGCTCGCCGCGCGCTCCTGCGGGGAACTGAGCCCCTCCACTCGGCCCTCCCGGGTCCCGGGACTCTGGGCTCCGAGGGAAATCCCTCCCCTCGCACCCCCTTACTCCTCGCCTCCCAGGAGGCCAATCGTGGTCCCCGGGAGGAGGCTCCGAGCTGGAGGTTGGGTAGTCATCTCTGCCAATCAGCTCTTAGGGGGCGCGGCGGGGAGACGGTGGGGAGGGGAGGCTGGGGAAGGAGCCACAGGTTGTCTCCAGGGCCCGGGGGGCCAGTGGCCCGGGGCTGCCCACCGGTGCACGCTCGCAGCTCTGGCTGCCAAGCTTGGCACTCGGGCAGGGGGCCACCAGGGTTGGCCTAAAGTCACCTTTTCAGGCTGCCCGTGGGCTCGGGTTACCCATGGAAGCTTCGTGTCGAGGGAGCCAAGGTTCCTTCCCCCACCCCTAGAAACTTGCAAAGTCCCGGGGAAAGTTGGATGCAAAGTCGCCCGAGTTTGGAGTTGGAAGAAAATCCAGAGCAGGTTGGGACGAGACTCGGGATGGTGTGGTGGTGGTGGCCATGATTATAAAAGAACAACAGCTAGAATGAAAACGTGATGCTCCAAGTAGGCTGGGAGCCCCCAGCCCCCTGCCCCCCGCCCCCCACCCCCCGCAGTCTTTCCCTGTAAACTGCAGCGGGGCGCGGCCCTTGCGTCCGCGAGTCTTGAAAACACGTCCCGCCTGTGCAACCAAAGATCTGAATAAAAGGAAAGGAAGGACACTTGGAATGCGTGAGAAATGCAGTCGGCTCGGAATGGCGCGACTCGCACCAAAGAATAAATTCTAGGGAATGTAGCCCCGGGCTCTGCCCGCCCGAGCCGCCGCTGTGAGGATAGCTGTCATTAGAGACGTTCCTGTTCGCTCCGCAGTAATTAGACCAGGTACAAACTAAACCCACTTGTCAGCATCACATTTCTGTGCGTGCCAAGAGAATTGATAAATATCCGGAGGGCGAGGGGAAATGGGTTAGCTCCCATTCCAGGCAGCGCGGCTCAGAGGAGTCTGAACGCCTCCTGCCCCCTTGTGTTGGTCGGGTTTCGACAGCGCGAACACCCCCTGTAGGAAAAGTTTCCTAGCAGCGCCCGCCCCCAGCCCGGTCCCCCAGCCTGGTCCCCAGAGCGGGAAAACCAAACCAAAACAAAACAAAACAAAAAAAACAGCATAGTAACAAAACACCTCGCAGTTCAAATACAACCTTTTTCTGACCAAGTTCTTGAATAGTCTTGCTTATCCTAGCCTAAATATTTCATTTGATGTATTTTTTTTTCCACTCGAGCATTACAAATCCGAATATTGGGCTATTGAACGGAAATTAAAATCATCCTATCATTTTTTTCTCTGCTTAAGGGTGTTTCTTTTTCTTTTCTTTTTTTAATTGGAGATGGAGGTTGATGAGAAGTGTAAGGAACTGCCCTTTTGCCCTTTTAGATTTCAGCCTGAACTAAAGAACTCAAGGTACAGCACAACCAATCTCTGAGCCAAAATATTGCTAGGAAACAGCAGATTTTGCTCCAGGAAGCACAGAAACCGGACCCTGTCGGCACCTGAGACTCCAGAGATGAAAGATTGTGAAGCTTCTCCAAAAACCTGGGAGCTGGGCGGAAAGAGAGAGAGAATAGGGAAAGAGAGAAATGGGGGAGGGAAGGAGAGAAGGAAAAGAGGAGGGATGGAGGAGGAGGAGAGAGAGACAGAGACAGAGACAGAGACAGATTTAAGGCAATTAGTACAGAGACTGGGGATCAAGTGTACATGGTTAGCACACAGCAGGAATAAATTTGAACCACAAGGTCTCCTGAGTACCCATGGATGTAATGATGGAGACACTCCCCTGCCCAATGCCTTCTAGTATGGTCCTGGCTCTAGTTATTTGGGCACTAGCATAAAAAATGTCCTTTCTGATCAGCTAAGCATCACTGGGAGTGAACTGTGAGCGCCTTTAGCACTGTTTGGAGCCCCCCACTCCTCCACCCTTCACATACAAATATATATGAGCAAAATAATAAAGATCCAAAAATTTATTTAATTTAATATTACTTGAGCTTATTCTACCCACTATGCAATTATTTGGAAGCTTTGAGATTCCACTTAGAGTCAAAATTTTTTCACAATTTAGTATAAAATGAATATCAAGATGTGATCAAGAGGCCTGAGTGGTAGTACAGCAGGCAAGTCATTTGTCTTGCATGTGATCCACCTGGTTTTGTTCCCCAGCATCCCTATGGTCCTCAAGCACCGCCAGGAATAATTACTAGTGCAGAGCCAGGAATAACCCCTGAGCATTGCTGGGTGTGTCTCCAAATGTGGTCAGTATTTAAACACATGAGAAACTACCCAATTTCTGCAGTCTTTCCTAATTTCCATTTTCCTTGGCATTATTATTTTATAAATTTATTGGTTTATAAATGTATAATTCTACAAACAGAATTAAATTTGCATGGCATGGGAACAAACATCCTTTTTAATTTTCTGTTTACAAATAAAACAAATGAAGAAGACACCAAGTGAAGAAATTTTCCAAACTATGGTCCTTTATATGGTCTATTAAATTCTGGTCATATGTTTTCTTTGAAAAACATGGACTGGAAGCCAAGTGGGCTTTACTCAGGCATTGTGACCCTGGAAATATTCTGAGCAGAACCAGACCTACAATCTCACCTCTGATGCTTCCAGGTGGCTTAAGGGGGGTAGTAGAGAGGGCTTCCTTTCTTCCTTTTAAAGTCCAACTCTGTTTGAATTGCAAGCAATGATAAGATCAGCATTTGAAGTATGGTAGCATGCCTGAAGGGCAAAGTTCAATATTTGTTTCGAGTAAGAAGAATAGAGGCCTCCATTTATTATTAAGTAGCCTAAGGAAATCAATAAACTCAAGCTCTTTGGATTTTTTAATTTAGTCTCCCTTGATTGAAGTGATGGAAAGATTTTTTTTTAGGGTTTTCTGTTTTGGTCAATATCTTATTCATTACCTTTGAGTCACCCAGAAGGTAACATACAATATTGTTTGCTTAAATATACTTGTCTGATGATTATTTATAAAAAAATAAAGCTTACATTGTAATAGGAAAAGAAATAATATTGGTGCCAAAGATCTCTAGGATGAAAATTTCAGTGTTAAATGTTCTCTGTACTTGTTAGCAAGGAAAACAATGTTCTTGATCTCATATATCTAAAAAATGGACAAATTTATAGTTTAAAAAAAAACCTGGGATTATTTCTTTAGTTCTTAAGTCTTTCAACACTTCCTATACACACTCTGGTCACAATTCCTTAGAACATACACACTCACACTCACACACACACACACACACACACACACACACACACACACTCATAGAGTCCAAACATCTCAAATTAACTTCAAGTTAAAAGTACTCATTATTCACATTCAAATTATTTCTGACCTGAGGTTAAACAACAGAAAACTTGTTTCCTAAAATAAATGGGAGAATACGATCAATGTAACAGGCAGGCAAAAGACTGGGGTAGAAATTAAACTACAAGGCTAGTACTTAATGTCAGATGCATCTAGGGAAATTGGGGATATTTAGGGTTATTAAAATTTTAAATTTTACTCTTCTTTTATTCTTCCAGATTTTCCCAGCATGAATGCAGGCAGCTTTAGTAACCTAAGGTAAAAGTAATTGGGAGGTGGTCTGTTTGTTTATATAAGGAAGCTAGATTCTAGATTTGCAGGTCCCAGTCCCCCACCCCCCCACCTCATCAAGTGGAACTACCTATTAAGCTTGCAAGTCTCCAACAGAAGAGAATGCCTCCTAGGCATCCTAAAAGTATTTACAAATGAATAATTATAGTGTTTATCCCTAGCAGCTTCAATAATTCTCAATAGAATTTTATTCTCCAATAGTTTCCCAATCATGGCTTAACTATAAACAAACCTGAGATTAATTTGAGAACTGCACTGAAGGGATAAATAGTTCTGGACTGACATATCAAGAGCTGGGTTTTTGGCTTGGTTCTGACATGTACTATAGAACTTGGAGCAATTCTCTATTGTTCCAACTATGACCTGCTCCATTGTAAACCGAGGGACTTGGCCTGCATGAGCACATTCCTCTTTAATTCTACTTTGAGTTTGGTCTTCAGTGCCTTAGCACCGAATTCTGACATGGCTTGCCATTTTGCTTGCTCGTGTTTTGTGGTCAGAGGCAATAATTATCATTCTTGACTCTTATTTGACTCTCTTAATTAAAAATAAGTTTTACTGCTACAAGGCAAGAAAACTTAAAATTCAGATTCACTTCCTTTGTCATAGATCAGTTGTTCACTTTGTAAATCGTACAACATTGTTTGCTTTTAATGATGTGGGCAAATTATATCTAACTGTATATCATTGCCTTTTATCACCATGAAAATTAATATCTTAGTAATCCAAAAGCAAATTAAAATTAACCAAATAAGTAAAATTTCAAAATAAACCTATTGCTAGGTGACACACCTAGTATCAAAAAAAAAAACACTCAGATTTTCCAGATAAAGTTATGTGCAGATGAGGGCTTACAATTGAGGAAAAGGAAAGAACTAGGAACCAGAATAGCTGGCTCTCTCTGGGAGCTGGAAAATTTTATATTTGTATGTCTTTGCCGCTTGCTTGCTGGGAGTTCAGGACAAACACTGTGACCAGCTCTTAAATGTGAAGGAGGGGGGCTGGAGCAATAGCACAGCGGGTAGGGCGTTTGCCTTGCACGCAGCCAACATGGCCTACACAGGTTAGATTCCCAGCAT